CCTTTGACCAGACCGGTCAAATTGGTCAAATTGGTCCGGTCCAATGGTCAAACTGGTCTGGTCAAGCCAACACTGATTCGGATCTAATACGAATTATAAATATATTTGTCGACTATTCGTTACATGATATTGTAACAAATCGAATTTGCAGAAAAAATAATACAAATCTAGAATTCGAAACTGCCCCATCACTACATACAATTGTCTGCTATTCTTAAAATATTTTCGTTAAACATTTGAGCAATGGTATCTTAGGTCTGACACAACGTTGATGGTTAGGTCGTAGAACTGAAAATGTACTTACTGTAAATATTGAATTTACCAGAGTATAGTAATTTTGTTTAAAGTTTAAAAATAATAGTATTAAAAAAAAATTTTTTTTAGCAGCAAGCTTTATTGGCTCTATTTATTATTATGGAATGAATGATTATGGAATTTTTTCGTGCGTTATGATACAAAACGGTCGTATACTTGTCAAAGAAAGCATAATGTTGGCATTTTTATAGGAACAATGGAACGGTTTACAAGTGTAAAAAATAATTGTAATAACTGTAATAATTTATCAAAAAAAGAAGCTAAATATGTAAATACAATAATAAAATCATGATAACTGCGAAATTCATATTTTTTTTTGTAAATAAATTTAATAACTTTGCCCTACAATATTTTCTAAATTTCTGTTATATTGTATTTCGATTTTATAGTATAACATTGTCTCTGACATTTACTAAAATTTGCAAATTTCTGGACAAAGAAACAATTATCAGTTTAGTCTATTACTAGGATAATACTATAGAATTGAATATAATTGGTAAAGATTTGGTTCATCAACAAACTCGGGAACCATGATTTTTGGTGTATAACCTAGAGCAAATTATACATAACCGGTTAATTTATATAAAAAATAATCAATAATTAGCCATGAATTGTAGTTTAGAAATATAACATAATAAACAATTTTTCTTGACTTTTATATAAAAGAAATAGAAAATACGGGTTTAGATGCTGTAGAAGTATTAGAGCAATTTTGCTTCGTATCATCACAGGATCAAATCTCGAATAAAGTCACATGTTCTATTATCTATCTACGCGATAATGTCGATTTATAAATCAAAAAAATCCTTAAACAAGTAAAAACTTATTTGAATGATAATTTAATAATTATATATATATATTTTTGCCAAATTAAAAATAAAAGTATCACTTTCATCTTTATTAATTATTTTATAATTACTGATACATTAAAGGAATTCTTAAATTTATACAATAACTCGAGTTCGAAGCTTTTAAAAAAAAGGTTATAGTGTTAGTGATAGTGACATTAGTCATCGAACAAATTGCTCGACGTCCAGGCCACACCACGAGGAGGGTTGCATCATGTGACCCAAAGGAGTTAAATTGGTGAATTTAAAAAGAAAAAAAAAACTAAACCTACAAAGAAAGTGTATAATAAAGAAAAGAGTTTATTCGATTATTTTTCAATTCATTTATTTTTCCGATCTTTTAACGATTAGCTCGCGTTTTTTGGTTTCTTTTTTTGTTCGATGACTTGTCTAATCAACGTTAATGTTTCAGATTCATTCGCGTTTCTCTGTTTCTTTTTGTTCGATGACTTGTCTAATCAACGTTAATTTTCAGATTCCATCCGTAGAACAATGTCCACTTTTCTTGATCTTTTAGTTGTAATAGATCGAAATGATAAAATACGATACCGAAAGTCATCGGTAAAGTGATTCGCATTTTTTGGCGTCTGATAGCGAATCAATGGTAATAACAGATAATCGTGACAGTTTGAACATTTTGCCCACACTTTTATATGGATCGTTTGTCACGACTTTGTTTATAATAGTTCATACCGTAACTTCCACTTCTTTATTTATAATAGTTCATACCGTAACTTCCACTTTTTTGAAAACAACGAAACAAAAAAGGGCCGTCTATGAACTAGTTCCCCCAGGACCAGGCAGCCTACTAAACCTAGCTGATGTTGCACACTATGGCAATTTATATAATCTTTGTACATCCATGTACGTAGGTTTTTGGGGGTAGGTTGGTTCCTTGCTCTAAAAATCAACAAGATACAATATTAAATATCTAAGCATAAAAATAAAGCAAAACATAATATATAAAACAGAAATAAAAAAAAAAAGTACCTATCAGCTATATAGCTGTAATTTCAACCTCGTAGACGCGAGAAAACACGATGCTGAAAAAAAAAGAGAAGTTGAAAGTGCGACTACATAGGACGACTGATCAGTAATTCACCCAGTCAGACTGGAATCACTAAACAACCTGACTTCTCCAAACCTATGTGGAAGTGGACGGTACAATGAACAAAGTAACGAGCAGAAAAGAAGAAAAAAGAACGGTGAGAAAATAAAACGATGAGAAAATGTTGATATACTATGACATACTATGACATCAATTTCGGGACCGTGAGAAATGCACCAATCAGATGATCTACACGAATCAATATTTTTAAACTTTAGTGCGCAGGTGATTTCATATACAAAATTTTGTTATCGCAGTTTTTTAAAAGAAACTTGACGGAGATCCCAATGATGTCGCTTATTAAAAAGAAATCTGATTAGTGCATCTTTCATCAGATACCGGAAATACTAAATTTCAGCCAATTCATCGAATGTTTGAAATACTGATATCTGATATAGATCACCAAAATTTTTGTTATTTCCTGGTCCATGGCTTACAAAAACACGTATGCTTCATTCGATATTTTTTGAATACAGAAATACTTCATTTAAAAATACAGTAATCATGAAATCTACCTACTACTGATTAATTACCAAAATTAAACCGACTATACTACTCTAGTTGGTTCCTTATTAATATACGGTGATCGATTCATTAATTAGACAATTATAATAACTTAGATTCTTTTAATAGATTACACGACAACACGACAAATCAGCATTTAAATATGATGCAGCCTTAATTTCTCTTAAAATAATAAATAAGTTAATTTTTATTTATATCCGAATACAAAATCCTTAATGTTATTATGCATAATAATACCTGGAAAATCGTTATTAAGAAAGGATGAAGTCAAATATTTAAAAAATTCATAACTGTAAACGCAAAGAAGGCGTGCAAGATATTCAAACCTTTTTTTCATTCATCACAATTAATTATGATAATTATTTGATCAAACTAATTCTAATAATTGGGACTATGTTATTTAATGATTTTATTACATACAGTAATTATGACATTTTGAATTGTTAATTTATTAGAATAAATCTATACGTCGCTACTAGCGATGTGCTTATACGTCGCGTATGTATAGATTATAATTTGTCTAAGATAAATCACGTTTTTGTTTAGTTAGGGATAGGGTTAGGGTGAGGTGAGAGTAGTGTAAGGGCTAGGGTTAGGGTTAGAGGAGCTTTATAGTAAAATTTCGTGAGGACTTTTTTTGTTAGAATACAAAGGATATTTTCATTTGTAAATTTTGAATTATAAATGATTTTGTCAAAATGAACGTTGTTTTGAATCTATTCTGTTTGTGTTACGTTACACTTAAGTTGAAATTTGATTGGTCGATCATTAAAATGCGATGTATAAGCACATCGCAGGGTAGCGACTGCGTTTGGTCCAAATCAAGTGAATTTATTTGTAAGTTGGGCTCGAATTATGAAGAAAATGCACATAAATTAAATGATAAAGATAAGTAGCTCATAAAATAGTATATATTTTGAAATTCAAAGTACAGAAGTATATAAAATTAATAATAGAAAATAGGTTAAATATCTAGGCTCCGGACTTCAACGGTTCCCGGTTCCCGTTTCCCAGTATATATCTTGAATTTTTATGAAATGGCTCTATATCAGCTATATTAGCGTGTAACTTGTTAGAACTTCATAAATAAAAAAAAAACAGAATATAGTATATTTTGGCCCGTAAATTAAACAAATGTAACTTATTATTTTTTTTAATGCTCATTAAAAGTCTGCAATTAGTGATATATATTAATGAGGGCCGTTTCAAATATTAAATCTTAGGTAGTTATAAAAAAAGGACTCGTGAGATTATTCTTTTTATTGAAATATTGAACGTTCCAATAAAACCGTATTACACAGTTTACGTTTTATAACTAATCAAAGTATTTAAATTAAATGGGAAATTAAGATATTTAATTCAAGTATCGATTCTTATTTATTTATGCATTCATTGAAGATAAAACAACAGATTAGAAGAGTATCTTGGCGGGTATAGTAAGTTAGTACAGTACGGTAGTATAAGTTTAGTATGTTAGTGCGTACGTACGGACATTAACTTAGATGTACGATACCATTTTATATAATATCATACATGATTTTGTGATTATCGTTATCTGCATCATGTGAGAAATTATAAATAGCTGAAAAAAAAATGTAAAAACCGCAAAAATGATGTTATGTTCAGTTAGTAGTAAGCATGTTAAAAAAGTTTTAAAAGGATTTATAGGTAAAATAATTTTTAACTCTATAATTTTGAAAACGGTCAATTATTAACAAAGTATTATTTTTACTAAATTTTTATTAGGAACTTTTCATTATCGTTCAATAACTACGATAACAAATAATAATAACGCTAACGATAACGATAACGATAATGATGAAAATGATGATAAAAATTTTTCAGAATTAACTAAACGATTTCCAAACACTTTAAAATTACCAGATTTATCAAAATTAGATCCAATTCTTGATATAAGTGGTACAATTATTGATCCACCATTTCCAACTACACGTCCTTCTTCAATAATAACTGCTCCAGAAACTGAAAGTGATGATACAGATGTTTTATCTGCTATTACTGGATTATCATCTATTGAAATTCGTGATTTACAAAAAAAAGCGTTAGTAATAAAACGCGTTAAAAATCAAACAGCTAAAGGGAGAGTAGTAAGTATGTACGCGTTAGTAGTTGTAGGGAATGGTAATGGGGTAGCAGGATTTGGTGAAGGAAAGCACGAAGAGTCACCTACAGCTATTAAAAAGGCTACAAATCAAGCTATAAAGAATTTAAGATATTTTGAAAGATATGATGATAGAACTATATTTCATGATATTGAACATAAATTTCATGGTACTACGATCAAATTTTTTGCCAGACCTCCAGGTAAAAAAAAAAAAAAAATTTTTTTAATTTTTTTTAATCAATTTATTTTAAGATTTTTTTTAAAAAGAAATTTACAAATTTATTTATATTTTGTAATGAAATAAAAGGGTTTGGAATTCGAACAAATCATTATATTCATGAAGTATGTAAATGTATTGGTTTTCAAGATATTTCTAGTAAAGTGTTCGGATCTCGGAATGGAATGAATGTTATAAAATGTACATTTGAAGCATTTAATTCCCAAAGATTACCACAGCAAATAGCGAGAGCTAGAGGTAAAAATTTATTTGATGTGTATCACACTTACTATGGAGCCCGATAAAAAAAATTTTCAAAATCAATTTGAAAAAATTTTATGAACAACCACAGTTTATATATTTTCTATTTACATGGTATGCTCTTTGCATCTATTGTAAACTCGACCCTAAAAATTTATTTTTAAAAAAAATCGTGTTATTCTATCAGAAATTTGAAAATTGTGCGAATAAAAAAAAAAAATTTTTTTTTGTTTTTGGTAGTCAAAAACGATAAGGAAGGAAAATGCGATATTTCTATACAAGAAAAAAAAAAAATAGAATATCAATTTTCTTTTGAGGTGTTGTAAACTCTTTTTTTTTTTTTTGATTTTTTTTTTTTTGATGCCTTGCTTTTTTTTTTGAATTTTCTTAAAAAAAAAAAAAAAAGAATAAATAAAAAATTCAATATTACATTATTATATAATACATGATGGGAAAAAATTTATCGTACTAATGAATGGTACGTTTCGATCTCTGTGAATATTGAAAAGCTAATATAACTTTTGTTATTGCCACCACCTTTTTAACTTTTGCAATGGATTGTGTTACTCTCTCTTGATAAATTCTATCCAATTTACGATCTCTTAATTTGTTCTTTCTTGTTGGTGTTGGCCATAGTTTAGCAGTTAATTCAAATGACCAATATTTGAATACATTGACTTTAACAAAGTCCAAAACGAAGAAATACAATAATGAAATTACAATTATACTAACACCCCAACCCCAACCAATTGCAGGTGTAAGAAGACCATAAATTGAAATAAACATGGCAAAAATTTGAGTTCCAAGAACGGCAACAAAGAAAGTAGGTGATGGAAGATTTTCCCAGAAATAACCGGATAAACGAGTAGAAAAGATTACAAAATGAGGAGCTGATGAAATGTGAAGATACATAATAGTTTCTAATCTTTGATCATCAATTCCTATGTTGAATACATAACGTGCAATGTAAAAGTGGGCAAAAGAGGCTGCGGTTAAGAGAACACCCAAGATCATTGATAAAACAATTAATTGACCAAGTCGCCATTTGTCAGGTCGAGGAGAAATTTTAGCATTATCAACAGCGATGACAAGTGTTGCTGCATCATTTAACAAGGCAATTAAAATTAAAAGAATGGCACTCATTTGCCAATTCTCAATAAGAGTGATACAAAAGAAAAACATCAAAAAAGTGTACCGTAGAAGTTATACGATATAAAGCATATGATCTCATACGTTGAAAAAAATTGCACGAGAAGTCATAATACCATCAACAATTGTAGAAAGTCCAGGTGCCAATAATACGATATCAGCAGCAGATCTAGCTGCATCAGTACATCCATGAACTGCGATACCAACATTAGCTTTCTTTAAAGCAGGTGCATCATTAACACCATCACCAGTCATACCAACAAGAAGACCACGTTTTTGTAAAAGTTCAACAACTCTATATTTATGTTCAGGAATAACTTGTGCAAAACCATCAGCACGTTCACAATGTTGAGTAACTTCTTCTTCAGTTTTATCAGGATCTACTAAATGATTTGCATCAAGAATAACTCTATTCATTCCAAGTCTATGAGCTACTTCTTTTGCAATAATTAATTGATCACCAGTAATCATTTTTACTTCTACACCATAATGATTACAACGTCTTATAGTTTCAGCTGAATCAGGTCGA